CAAAAAATGGAGCTGCTTCCTGTTCTCCCAGAACATTGAATTTTGTGACCACAGTTACAAATAGCCTCCAGAGAGCCTGTTCTACACAAGACCAGTGGAGCCAAACTGCAGCCAGAGCCCATCACCATCCTCATCTGGTTCTAAGTAGGCAATCTAGTATATTATTTGTGACACTAATCTCTAATTTACCTCACATTAAAGGGACACTATAGTCACCAGAACCACTGCAGCTTAATGAAGTGGTTATGGTGTCTATAGCCTGTCCCTGCAGGCTTTTTAATGTAAACACACACTGTGTGCAGCACTGGTGTTAGTTCATATGGCAGGTCATATGGGTGGGGCATTGTGATGCCATATGGGGTGGGGTGCAAATTTTTCTTTTGCCTAGGGCGGCAAAAATCCTTGCACCGGCCCTGACCACAGGCTGAATCTCCGACATAAGGATGTATCTGAGAGTGCTACCATGACTTAACCACCTTTTTACCATGCATTTCTTAAGTCTCGCTGATCAATGGTTAAAAAAAGTCAAAAGGTAGCTTTGCTATTACACATCCCCAAAAATCAGATTATAGCTAGAGACTCCTATAGACAGATCACCACTCACATACCGTAAAACACATTGGTTTATTAATTTTACCAACCTAAGTTCGGCTTACAGTCTCACGATAATCATATTAAACTTCTAGACACAATAAATTTGTGTAAGCACATACACAAGGTACGTAGTTCCTCTTAATTACTTGATACATATGTTAAAACTCACACTTATGTCTAGGGACAGAAGAACTGGCTACATGACACAGGTGCAGCCCAACAGTGTATCTTAAAGTGGCATATGGTCCTGTGCGTCCAACACCCATCCTCAACACTGAGGTAAATCGCCCTTACGCCCAAATCATAGCCTCACCTTACCCTCCTAACAGGTTTATAGTCAGGGCATCACCTGTCATGGTCAATCATATTGAACATTGTACAAGTCACCGAGAGGCCAATACCTTGCCCCAACGTTCGGTTGCCCCTGCGTGGTCCAAATCATAGGTAGAGCCTCTCCATCCTGGTTAGTCAGAAATTTTTCCACCAGGCAAGAGTTAGATCAGTTCTACTATAACATAAATATTATTATTTATTCGTAATATGTCACACATATCAGAACAAGGAGATGAGTTGTTTCTCCCCAACACTCCAGCCAGACCCCTGGTAGACCTAGTACCCTGAAGAAATTCAAGAACCTGCTACACCGGGTTCACTGAGGTCTTGGACTATCTCAAAAATAGCAGCGGAACTCAGACGCAGAGGTATTCCTTTCTCCTCTACTGTAAGAAAGGCAGAACTATAGCGGCTGATGATATCTCAACCAGGCATGCCCAGGCCTAGCACCAGCTCATAAGGAAACAGCCAGGACAGCCTTATGGAGATGCATACCATGATGACATCTATTATGTCATCAATCCAGTCAATAAATGATAGACTCATAAAGTACACAATACCAAACCATACCCAAGCAAACTCCCAGGGTAATATTTAATCTTGTAAAATAACTCCATCCCATCGAATCCCCCCTGTAGTCAGGAAAGACATCATAGAAGGGAAAGATGTAAACCTCGTGTCCATATAAATTTGTTCACAAGACTTAATTGAGAATAAGTCTTATTGCTATAGAAACGTATCTGTGATCCTCAAAGCTAGAGACCCCAGACTAAATTTAAAAAATGAACTATATCAGAATTCGTGCTCGCCTTTGGTATCTACAGGGATGTAACGTGTTCCTCATTCCCACACTAGACCTGTACTTACACAAATTGGTGGATTTGGGACATAAATACATTCTTCACATTCTATGATTATCCCAAGTCTTTTTCGGCAATGGCAGTGGCAGCTCTATCTCAGTTTAACATTCGTACAGTTTGGAGCCAATTAGGCACTGAGCTATTCTGCAGTCACTTTGTGGGTCAAAAGCTCTGTCATTTACCATATGCGCATCAAATTCTCATACCACCAATTTGTGCCCAAATGAAGCTGACCCACCTACCACAAGACAAATCTCTAATTTCACCCAAAATCCAGAACAAAAATGTCTCAGAGAAAAACTAGGCAGACCTTTTGTGTTTCATGGTAAAGCTCAAGTGTGTAATAACTTTAATGCTGGCTGTTGTGGTTTCAGCACATTCAGATTGCTACATGTATGTTTGTCATGTTTCAAAGTGCACGCTAAGACTATAAAAATTTGGCATACTACTTGTAACGGACCGTTTTGCACACAAGGGGTAAAAACCGTTTAGGCGATCGGCCCCCTTTCCAGAGATCCAGGCACAGCTACTGCAGAACACCAAAACTCACGAACCGCCAATAAGTGAATGCTCCAAACTCCCGAACGGCATACAAGGGAATAAGGTAGCACTTCAAATAAACGAACAGGAACCATACGAATAGCTGCTAGCAGGCGAACAGGAAAAGCTTCCAAGCGGCTTACACTCCTGGCAATCAGTCCTTAGCAGCATACAGTAAATCCCCCCAAAGACGAGACAAGGCTCCGTGTTGAGGGTCAAGCAGTGGTCTGAGGTGCTGTCACACCCAGCCTGGTTTTTATTACAGTCTTGCAAATACAGGACCGCCCACAGGGAGGTATAAAATATCCAGTAACATATTAGTTACAACCCACAGATTCCCTCCCCCTTATCCTGAGAGGTAACCCAATTACCTCTTCCTTTTTACCACAATGCATCCTGGCTTCCTCTCCTCTGCCCAGGAGATAATTGAGAAGTAATTAAATTATCTCCCAGGACAGAGACAAGACTCCATTATGCACATGGTGACACAAAACAAGCATTACTGTAAAAATACACCAGGTAAGACACATTACATTAGAACTATACATTTAACATATCCCCAGATAGCTCAGGTCTGAGCGCACATTATTAAGTGAATGGCGCTCAGACCACACAAATACAGTTTAATCGCCATGGAGCCAAAGTCTTTACAGTCAGTTTCATATGAATGGGCTCCATGGGATTCCTATCTGGGGTATAACACATTCAAACAAATCTACCGAACCCCAGGCAGAAAAGCACGAATAAGCTTTTCTGCAGGTAAAAAAGATGTCTTTTAAAAGGGGGCCATAGTCCAAAGGCAGCAGGCGAGCAACCAGGCTTCTCCAATGCAATGTGGCGAGATTGGTCTCGTCACATCTCTCCCCTTTTCCAAACAGACTAACAGGGTATCTGACCTCCTGCCGGTCAGTGCCCTTGTTAGTCCAGCAGCCCACCCACAAGACATAATCAACAGCACAGCCCACCCACAATAAATGGTTACTACACCTGTGTAAAGGAGAAGCTTGTCCATGTCCAGGTGCCTCACCACGGCTGTGCTGGGTACGGGTACGCTGACTGGGTGGGTTGCTGCGTGGGCAGAGACCAGCGGCACTCTGCCCCGTTGCCAGCGCTACTGGGAGGGTAGCCTGGTTGAAGCCTGGTTGTTGGAGGGGAAGACCGACTGTCTCCCCTTTAACTACACCGCTCTGCTGCTGGAGACCGACTGTCTCCCCTTTTGTTGCACAGCTCTGCTGCTGGAGGGGGAGACCGACTGTCTCCCCTTTGAATACTCTAAGCTGTCGCTGGGGAGAGGGGGTAACAGGCTCCTCTCCCGCTAGAACACTCAGCCGCTGGGGAAAGGAGACTGAGCTCTCTATTCCCTGCCCATTAATGATCCGCCGCTGGGGAGAGGTGGTAGCAAGCTCCTCTCCCATACATACTTTCATCCTCTGTGGAGGGAGACCGACTGTCTCCGCTCCCAATACAGTGTCCTGCTGCTGGGGAAAGGAGACTGGGCTCTCTATTCCCGGTAGGACACTCTGGCGCTGGGGAATGGAGACTGGGCTCCCAATTCCCTGCTGTATCTCCCGCTGGGGAATGGAGACTGGGCTCCCAATTCCCGGCACATCACTCGGCCGCTGGGGAATGGAGACTGGGCTCCCAATTCCCAAAAAATCACGCTGCTGCTGGGGGGCAGGAACAACTACCTCTGCCCCCTGTAGCTCAGCCTGCCGCTGGGGAGGGAGGACGCTGTTCTCCTCTCCCTGCACT